TTTTTTGTGCTATGTTGTCCTCGGAGTTGTGTTTTTTTTGTGCTTTTGGTTGTGCTTTTTTTGTGATATGTTGTCCTCGGAGTTGTGGGTTTTCTTGTGCTTTTTTAGTGATATGTTGTCCTCGGAGTTGTGGTTTTTTTTTGTGCTTTTGGTTGTGCTTTTTTTTGTGATATGTTGTCCTCGGAGTTGTGGGTTTTCTTGTGCTTTTTTTTTGTGATATGTTGTTCTCGGAGTTGTGTGTTTTTTTGTGCTTTTGGTTGTGCTTTTTTTTGTGATATGCTGTCCTCGGAGTTGTGGGCTTTCTTGTGCGTTTTTTCTGATATGTTGTCCTCGGAGTTGTGGTTTTTTTGTGCTATGTTGCCCTGGGAGTTTGAAAAACTTGTGGCAGACATCCGGAGCAAAAAGTCCACAACTGCAGCTGCAGTTTTTGGCCAGTGGCAGCCTCCCTCCAGTCGAACAGCAAAACTGCAGTTCCACTCCTGGCTGTGAAGCAAAAAACTGTCTGCAGCAACAGGAAAACCTGCAGCTTCACATCTGGCTGCAGAGCAAAAACCTGTCTGCAGCAAAAGGAAGCCCTGCAGATTCACATCTGGCTGCAAAGCGAAAGCCTCCCACCGCTGCAGAAGGGCCTGCTGCTGGCGGTGATGTGGTTCTCCTTTCGCACTGAAGCTGCGGCTGCGCTTCTGTTCTGAGTTTTACTCAGCCACATGTTTTCAGTAGTTTTTTTTAACCTTGTAGCACCCCTTGTTTTGGAATGGCCTTGCTCATGTGGCTGGGAATGCACCTGTGAATTTGCCTTGGGTTTGGACCCTGGCTTCTGCTCTGCTTTTGGTTGTGCTTTTCTTTTTGTGGGTGTTTAAGTTTAAGTCTGTTTTTTGGCTGTTAGTGGGGGGGCAGTGTCCAAGTTTGGGGTTTCTATGGCATTTTTGCTCTGCCACTGCAACTATGGGCTTGAAAATTTTTTGTCTGCCGCACAACCACTGTTTGAAAAGCCTTTGAAAAAGAAATGGAAGGGCTGGCAACGAAATTCAAAACAATATGCCACCCGATGGAAAACTAGGTCAAATAGAACTTTTGTATGACACCTGATGGAAAACCCATAAGTGATTTGGTGGCATTTTCCTGGTGCTCATTTTGGTTAGCTGATATGTAGCAAACCCTTTTTTGAACTGTTACTGGGGGGAGAACATCTCAATGTATGTTCTAGTTTTTCTGCTCGGGCATTTCACAATCTGCGTGGCAGAAGGGGAAGAATCCCCTCTCCAGTGCCACCTCTCCTTCTTCACCTCCGACACTCGGGTGAGTGAGCTCACGTGCAAATGGCACAACTGCCCTGCCACGCCGGCGACATGTATGTCGACACTCATGGGGCATGAAAAACGTGCGGCCTAAGAAAAGCATCTGGTTCACCGGTTTATGTCTTGCAGGTCTTTGTCTCCTGAGTGTCTTCTTGCGAGTCTTCCGATGGCTTTGGTTTCTCCAAGTGGCAGGTCTGGAGGAGTGCACTGGAGGACTGCTACATTGCTACATGTGGGATTGGACTTTGAAGAAGCTTCAAGGTGCCAGGGCACCTTAAGGCCTTAAGGAAAACCACTGGGCCTCCATGTGCAACTACCCCTAGTCAGTAGTGAGTGCTAGGGCTAGGCCTACAGGGGGAGGCGGCTGTTAGATTCTTTTCAGGTTCGAGTCCGGGATGGTCTATGGACATCTCGCTTGTAATGTTGCGTCAATCAGTTTGAGCCAAGCTCCTGGGATGGCGCAAAATCAACTTCAACTATCACGTCATTATTCCATGGACATTCGTTGGTCACGGCAAATCATCTATCCCTATCTGCCGAACTGCTGCCCCAAGCGACCTGCATGCCGACCGCTGGCGGCCGGTCTGCCTTTTTGGAGAAGCACTCGGATCACCCCGCGGATGGGACTAGCCATGGATCCAGGCCCGGAAAATCGGACAGACGCAGCAGGTCCTATGAGTCCTATATGTCGACGTGGTTTCGCCGAAATCTGAGCAGGGAGCTGACAGGAAATCTGGAGCACTTTGGACCAAACACATCCAAAAACCAGTGGTGTCTTCGGCAAGTGCTAAATGAACAGGTTGGTTGAACGCTCTTCTCCAGCGAAGAGCACATGAGATGCAACTGCTCATCTTCGACCTCACAGAGATGGTTGTCACCGATGTCACCTACCATCACCGACGTTTTCATGACGAGATTGGGCCAAGTCAATGGCTGGCTTGAAACATAGCCGATACGTACCACTTCCAAATGCCGTGGAATTACGTCAACAAATATCGCCTATCGCCCAATCCCGCCACCTTCCAATAAAACTATCCAGAAATATCTGGAAAGATACTGAGCTCAGCTGACAAGTTCCACATTTCAAGCTTTTAAACTTATTGGGATATGAGATCCCTGGAATAGGCTGCTAGGAACCATTTGATGAAGTGGTGGACCTGGTTGGCCTTTTTCCCTCAGTTTTTGTTTGCTCACTATCTTTGCCATCAGTCACGGCATCATGGTGGCCATAGCGTCATTCAAAACGCTCGTGGAGGAAGCAAAACAATGAAAGTCCGAAGGACCTCCAGGACCTCTCGTGGCTATTCGCAGGTCGATTCTGACACTCCCATCGCCACCGATGTTGCCGACTTGGCGGTGCGGCGGTGCCACGCATGGCCCATCGCCTCTGCGCATGGCCTCGTGAAAAATCAGAACCAGGCCAGCAGGGATCCTGGGCCATCTTCGTCTGAGAGCTCAGGCAAGGCGAGATCCTGAGAGGTTTTGCGGCGCTCCACCCCTGAGTCCAACCCTGTTCCCAGGCGCGGAAGATCTTCGAGAGTTTACAAGTCCCCGTTGAACCATCCTGAACCAAAATAAACAAACACATATAACTAAACTATATATTATATAATAAGGTATGATGTATAAAATATAAGTACAGCCATCCTAAGCATCCAAAAGCTCAGCAAGTAGTACCACCCCGAAAAATGACTTGAACATGGACCCCTGGAAGTTCCATTCTGCACTGCGAAATCAGGAGTTTTGGGGTGTAGAGGTCAAGAGTGGTCAAGATATATACATGCAAATCAGTGGGTAAATCATCAGCATGCCTGCATATGCCTGCTAAGTCTTCTGAAACAAGCGTAACTCGCGCGTTTCGCTCGCCCTGTAAAGAGATTTGCACAGCCCTGCCGCCAAGATTCAACCGACACCTGCCACAGGCTTCGCATCACATCTTCATGATCTATCTATCTGTCTATCTATCTATATATATTATGTGTATATAATTGTATATATATATATATTCCATTATATTCTTGGTATCAAAAACGCTTCTTTAGAATATCACCTTTGCCCTGTTCTCGGTCCCAGCGACTAACACCAGCTCAAACCCGACGGCCTCTTGTCATAAACTCATTGCAACCTTCCAGCAACCGTCGACCTACAGTCTACAGTCATCCTGATGCGAATCATTCCCTGTAAAGAATCAAGAAGTCTCCAAGCTCATCCAAGCTCTAAGATTTGGCCTGATTCACTCGTTTCAACTCGCACCATCACTTCACTGTCCCATCCGTTTGCCTATTCATCAACCGTCTTCCGGCCCGCGAATCACCCATGCCTCGCTCCCTTTCTGGGCGCGGGCGCGGAAGAACTCTGCCTCCGTCGCTGTCATCGGAAGGAGCCAGCGCAAAAACTTGGGATCAAAATGAGAAGTGCTTTCAACTGGGCACCACCTGCCACTGTTGGATTGGACATGGACTTGGAACATGTTGAACATTTCAATCTCCCCCTCTACCCCACCCCCCTCTCTCTCTCTCTCTAAATGTGACAAGTGTGGCCAGGCCAGTTGCACCTTTGAGAGTGCGGGACGATGTGCCACCCCATCCAGGCGAAGGTTTTCGCCATCGTAGCGGATGATTTGGTGTAGTCCTCGTGGTGCATCGTTTGGACAGGCATAAGATGGCAGCCTGTTGGGTAGATCCCGCTATATACCAGTATCCGTGGATGATGGCTGACAAGGGCTATACCAATTCCAAAAAGTCTGACTATAGTGACTTCAGTGCTCATCGTCCGACTGTTGCAGGTACTGGGACGAAACCCTAGGCATAAACATGCATAAAGCTGAGCAGGCTGAGCCCGTAACAAACCATATGTCAAACCATATGTGTCCTTTATTGTCCTTTCACATGCCCCCCGCCCACGAAGGTCAGTTGAGTCGAACCAAGTCGGTCAGGGTCAACGGGCCGTCCGCAGGTCTGTCGACTCTCGAGTCGAGGGAAGGCCGTTTCGGACCGTCCACATGAAGAGATCACCGCAATTGATCAAGTGAAGAGATCACTGATATCAAGATGACTACCACGTGGTATAATCACATCAATCTTATTCAATTTTCCAATTGATCAAGTGTGTTCACTACATGTCACTATACATGTTGTGCCACCGTTGTGCCACCGTTGTGCCGGCCAAGCTGACTTGAGAGATGACTCCTTTGTGTGACTCACTGTGCCGAGGCACCGTTCCGCCGGAGCCATTGCACCCAAACGGTGGCGGCCTTGGAGTCGCAGTGGGAGTCCATGTTCCATCCGTTGTTTGGACGAAAACCAACCAGCTGAAAACCAACCCAACCATAAAACGGACCGATTTCTTTTCATAGCCCAGAACGTTTAGAAAGAGCACGGGAAGTCCTTCAATACTAAAGCAAATGAATCAACCGATTGTGGCACCGTACTTCCCTCGAGCAGCTTGTTGGGGAACGGGAAAGGATTTTGTTCCCAATGCAAGACAAGTGGCATCTCCCCGGTTCTCCTCCTGCGAAGATGGTCTTCAAAAACCGCTACTCCGCAAAATTGCAAGCCTTCTTCCAAGTAACGCTCGTGAATGCCATGGAATTTTGCTCGAACACTGGGACGTGTTGGGATTTGGTGCCTGGATTCTGGGGCAAGTGGAAACCCCTGTTTGCAAAGCAAATTGCTCTTCCAGCAGCCTCTTTTCCACCTCTGATGCCAAGCCCCCATGAACCTGATGTACCACCCAGGGTTTGCACAGCGCACCGGCGGCCGGGTGAGTCACGGTGGGTCATCCATCCACCAAAGTTCCCTGTCTTTGCGCCAGTTGACCAGCAAAAGTGACTCGAGACAGAAGAATGCCCAATTCGAACACAACCCGCAAGCTGCGAATGTCATGCTTTTCAATGGAAACCCAATGCTGCCACCATTCAGTCCTCTCCATCGGGCTCTTTGTCTGGAACTTCCATCGTCTCGCCAGGAGCTGGCTGATCCACCATAACCCTTCCTGGGCTGCGAGTCGAAGGAGGTGCCGTTCCATGTGCTCAGGAGGTAGATCGTCGTCTTCGAAAAACCCTTTTCAATCCCGTCCACATCCCTTCCAAGCATATCCAAGCATCGCAATGAGTCTTCAAACTCCGCGCAAGTGGTCTTGATGACCTCATGTCAAGCGAGACTGGCGCCGAGAGCCGATACCCGGGCTGCTTGCGTCGGCAAATGGCCTCGTGACCCTTAGGAAAACTTGAGGCTTCTCCCGGACTCTTGTAGTTTACCTATACTGGTCGTAGATAACACATTCAAAAGGAAAAACGACTAAACACCCAAAGGATTGCATCCTTTTCAAGCATGCAAAAGACGGTCCAAGTTCCATACAAAAACTGGCCCAGTAATCTTCACAGTCTTTCAGTTCATGCTATCACCGCTGGAAGGGAACCATATTATTAGAAGTATGTTGACTATGTTTGTATGATTTTCCAAAACCAACAGATGAACAATAGATGCACAAATAGATCAATATATAGTTTTATAATTTGTATATATATATATATAGATGGAACATCGTAGAAAGCACACCATGTGCCTTCCGCACGCCGCTAGCGAAGGCACGACGTCTGTCACTGAGGCTGCACACATCGGCGCTGTTGGCCACGAGGAACCTGCCATGTCCGACGAGGACCGCCCGAACGACCGTCGACCGGAGCGCGGAAACGGAGTGCGTGGCACCGAACGAGAGAAACCGTGGAGAGCTGCGAGAGAAACAGAGCTGCAAAGGTAAGGCAATGCAGGCAGCACCCCTTTCTTTGTACAATCTAGACGTCCCGCGCTAAAATTGGCCCATGAAAAACACAGAGTTTCTGACTTCTCACATGAACATTAAGATGTTTACAGATTCATACAGGTTCACAAAATTGCTATGTGTTTTTCTACTTTTTTCTGTTGGTTGGTCCGCAGCGCACAGCATAGTAGTCTGGGAGAACAAACGACACATGGATTGCTTTGGATGGGTATTTTCCTTTACGAATTGGGCACTTTCCACTTCCATGTTAGTTAGTCGGAGAGTGCATTAACAAACCATTACTTTTGGATCAACACATGATTCACTTTCTATTCCCTCACTCATGCACTTGAAGGCGTAGTCACTCAGGACTCTACAAAATCGCTAATATAATCTAGTATATACACATACATCCGCATACTGGCTCAAAGCATTCCGGGTCAAGGACAAGCCTTGCAAACATGCTCCATCATGCTCCATCCACTTTTCATTCCAAAATATGTCCACTCTCGGAGAGCTTTCTCCCATGTCTCTGAGTGTGAAATGATGAGAAATCAACTCAATAATAGCCTCAATAGACTCAATAGCTACATGATAGCTATATATACAAAGGTTCAAATGACGGTGCAACTCTGCGCGAGTTTGTCATCGTTGCTTTTTGTTCGTGTAATGGCACCTTCGGAGCGGTACCTCCTGACCACTACTCCCATGTCACGTACCACGCTCTGCGTGGACACGCGGAGTGGCTGGTCGTCGTCGTGTTGGGGCCGACGGCAGCGCCTTCGGTTCACCAGGGCGGCCGTCGGAAGGCGCTTCAGGGTCGAGGACAACGAAAAGCTAATGGCCCGGCATTGCCGTTCACCTCGGCGAGGCGAGGCTGGGGCGTACCGGTGTTGGGTGGGAGACCAGAAACGGCCGGCATTTGGTGGGGCCGGGGCAGGTGCTTTCGGTGGGTTCCCCTCAGTCTCAGAAGGTGGCTTTAAGTAAAAGACTACATGCAAAGTAATGATCCACCCAGCCATGTCTGGATGTTCTTCATTGTTTTTGATGTTGAGGAGATTGTTTCAAGGCGTTGCCCGCTTCGATTGAGCTTCAATTGAACAACTGCACAATTAAGCTGATCAAGCCCACATGTTCGACCCAAGCAATCTGCTTAATCTGCTTCATGATGAGACTCAGGATTTCACCACCGCCCTCGCTGTCAGCGAGCAGCAACTTCCCCTTCCACACGCCTTCCCTGGTGGATATTGAAACAAAATTCTAGCAACACTTAGTATAAGCACAAGTAGTGCACGTTTTCAAACAACAAATATCGGGCATGAAGGGGCTATGTCGCCTCTCATTCAGCTTTACAGGGCGGTCGTATAGAGCATCTTTGTACAACCGGTCGGCCTCTACAAAGCCTTGACCATACAGCACACGGTGGCTGCCTCACTTCACTTTGGAGAGAACGTTGCTCTGACCTCATCAGGGATCACCCGGGTGTCTGAAGAATACTTAGCAATGAAGTGGCTCTGTTGGTTCTACTAAGCCCGGCCTCCTTTGGAGCCACACACTTGCCCGCCCCAGTAAGTTCCATCTGCCACGGTGGGCTCATACGCCGCCCAGGCCTAGCAGGAGCTCATTGCGGGATTTATCGAGAGCCGAGTCCAAACCTCTGACAGCCCAAGAGCGACGAAATGCGAGGGCCATAGCCTGCAACCTGGATGCTTATCTTGTGGGTGGATATGGGTGGTGAAAAATAAGCGGTCGCGCCTTCTCGTTCACGATCCCCAAACTGTTGACCGGCTCCCCATACTGCTTCACCTGACAGCAGGTTTTCTGCGCTGCACCATGATGCATCAAGATGCACAGCAGGGCGGCTGCCTGGCCTCGGGGGGGTATTTGAACCATCCAAAGTTCTCGGTGTATTCGACGTCCGTATACTGGAAGTAGGTGCTGGCGCAGCAGCCTGCGTTGGCCCACACCGCCAAGTTGTCCGCGGTCTCCTGGGGCAGCAAATAGCAGAACTCCGAGAGCCAAATGGGCGAGGAGGCCATGAGCTCTGCCGACTGCTTCTTCGCCATGGTCACATATTCAGTGGGGGTCACCTGGGGTCAAAAGAACCAGAGAGCAACACAAATAGCAATGGATGTTCATCTCACATAATTATGTAACATGCGTGAGTACACCTTAAGGTGTTGACATGTTCTGACCAGTCACCTTGCTGAGATGGGACAGCTTCCCATCACTCGGGTAGTAGTGAATGCTCACGATCAGCTGGTTCTTCTCGCCCCACTGCTGGAGCTTCTTCTTGGCGACATCGGAGATGGGCACCAGGGAGAGGAACTTCATGTAGTTCGAGCCGCTGCCCAGGGTCCCGAAGCCGTCTTCCAGCGCCAGGGGCGCGCGGGAGCCTGCGGCATCCAACTCCTCCAGCAGAGCGCCGTAGAAGTCGAAGAGGTCTCGGCGGCAGCTCATGAAGCGATAAGGGTGGGGCAATCCAGCGAGTACCGGCTCGTTTAAGACCTCCACAGCCACACAGTTCCAGTGTTGCTCCCACTTGCTGCACAGGAATTTGATGTGTTGCACAAAGGGTTCAAACAAGTTCTGTCGATCGCCCTCCTTCTTGTGGGATTGGTAGAAGCGTGGGGCGTAGTTGTGCACCTGCGAGACCCAAATCAAAGTTCCAAGTCCCCAGGCCAGATCGTTATTGTTCAACCTCATGCTCAGATTGCCCACATTCATGGAGGCTGGGTTGCCCATGTTGGTGCCCACCGCATAAGCTGCCCATGGATTGTCCCCGGTGGTGCGCACGGGTTGGATGCCGCAACAGCAGCAAGCAAGCCATGAGGGGCACTCGCACACAAGGGCCAAGGGATTGTCAGGGTTGGTGATGTAGGAAGGTGTCGTGCAGCAGCAGCAGTGCCCGCTGGTGCTCGTGCTATCCACGTGTTCCTGCATGTAAGCCCCTGTCCACCATGGCAGGCCGCAGCCGCCGTTGGTCGTCGAGAAGGCATCATCATGCACCTGCGCACAGACCCGAGCACTTGACATCACCACACGACTCACCATACAGCTTGCAGCACTGCATCACATCACACACCCAACACGGCTCTTAACCATACTGTTGTACACTTCACATCAGAATCACTTCACACACAGGTCAAAAATCATCAAAATAATGAGCTTGAACCATCCACAAGAGACCTAATCACTATGGTCACCACATCACACATCCCAGCTGACCATCGCCACCATTGATTGCATCACCAAATCACCTCAAGCCTAAAAGAATGATTCAGAATGATCAATAAAACTCAATATTTAATAGTATAAAAGCATTATGGAAAACAGTATGTACGTCTTGTATATGTGGTACGCGTTTGCCTCCAAGAAGACGTAGACCCCTTGTTCCGCGAAAGCTTGGATGGTCGCTTCCAAGTTCGCGGCCCAGGTCGGATCGATCGGGCCAGCTTTGTCCGGCATGGATCCTGGCAAAACGTGGGGCAGATGGGGCAGGTAGCACAGCACCGTCATTCCATTTCCCTGCGCTGCGTTTCAAACCCGGATGTCGGATCGAATCAACTGGGGTATCAATCAGGGGAGGTTTGTGAGTTTGACACCTCCCGGGTACGCTATTCCCATGCTTTGGTCCTGAATGTGGCCGAACCCGTACTTGAGTCCTGTTTGTCGGACGCCATACTTGTTGTTTACGTGCCAAAACCTTGGATTTTGTTGAGGTTCCGCAGGTGGGTTAGAACTCAGAAATGTAACTTAATTCGGATTCGTTGTACCTATCTTTTCCTGCCTAAAATCAACGGGGTCCATACGGCTCCTTCCCACATACATCCCAAGCGGACGCAGGGCTTCACCACTCGCTGCGTGCCATCCTTTGCAGGAGGCGGCTTGTAGGTCATGGATTTAGCACCTTCCTTGGTGGCAAAAACGAGAAATCCATCTGCCATCTTTCGTGCAAGGAATTCTCCTCTACACTCACATTCCCGGTTCCCTTGACAGATTCGACCAAGTCTCGGCCATTTCTAAGGCATTGGCGGAGACGATCTCTTTGGGTGGGAAGTAGGGCTGGGTCTTGAACACATAGTTGCCGCCTAGGAGCACCACCTCTTGGCCGCCCAGCTTCAAAACGCGTTCACCTCGAGGCTTTCACCAGCCAAGAGCTGACCCGGATAGCCGGGTCTAGTGAGTTGACCCCGGCCCGGCCCCGGACTATCTATGCTCATGTGTCGTGCCACTCTGAAAACGCTCTTTCACTGCATGCGTGCCGAGGTGCCTCCCGCACCCATGGCCACGGTGATGCGCTTGGGATCATCGCCCCCGGCCAGCAGGGGTGCCGCGGCCTCGGTCGCAGCCATGGCGCCCTTCAGCGCTTCGTCCGGCGCTTCGTCCGGCGCTTCGAGCCCAAAGGGTCCTGCGGATCGATCGGGGTGACCGAGCCCCCCCCCCCCCCCCCCCAAAGCAGTCCCCAAAGCAACTGGTTTTGGGGGACGTCACCCAAAAAGGTCGCCCTATTTCTCTTTCTTCGCCCGAAAAAGGCGAACGTATACGATGTCCATCGATGTCCGCTGGATCATCATGCACTTTTCCGCTCTCCCTTGCGTCTCACGTCTTCTTTTTGTTCCGCAGGCGAGGGAGGCTTCGATGGCATCCTGAGGCTGTAAGGCTTCGATGGCATCGGCTCTAAGGCTTCGATGGCGTTCAGGACATCCAAACCGCTGCCCAAACCGCAGAGATGGCCACCCACAGGGGGAACGTCGGGTCGGCCGCGGCCGACCTCGCAGAGACCAATGGGTCGGTCGGCTGCACCAACGCCAAGCCAAAGGCTCCGTGCATCTGCAAGACGGGCTGCAAGGGCTGCGCGACCAAGACTCCACCTGGGATTTGCTTCCAACAAGGCAGCAGTACAACAAAAACTCGACGCAACTGCAAAAAACAAAACCTTACGCATCCTTATTCCTCACAAGGTGATGCACAAGTCCAAACAACATCACCTTGGACTTCACTTTCTGGCCATTTCTGCCCAGCCGCAAGGCATGGCATACACGGTGCTGGCACCCTCATCCGCCACGAAGACTGTGCCCGAACCATCCCAGGCCAAACCGCGGGCGATGACGAAACCCTCGTTCATGGCCGTGGCGTTGCCGCCACCAAACTTTGGAACACCATACACGCCAGCGCCGTTGCCTTAGATGGGTAGTTCTTGGCAACATCCCGCAAAAAAGTAGCGCTACCTCCCATGAAGTATGATCAATAGTCAGCAAAAGCACGTTTCCCACCAAATTTAAAGCGATTACACATTACTGGAACTATAACTATATAAAATTATATATGTCATGTCTAAATCATCTAAACATTCACCTGCAAAAAATGTCCTAAGTGGAACACCGCCAACATCCGCCAAGCATGCGTTCTCCACTCCGGTGCATTCAAGTGGCTGAAGAGCACCATGTTGCTGGTCGCTGCGATCCCAAAGGTGCTAGCGCTCTCGGTGGCCAACTTGCTACTGGGAAGGGAACCACTCACAAAGCCCGTGGCAACCTCACAGTCGCCGGGGGAGAAACGAAAAGGTGAATTAGTTGTTGTTCCCTCTGCATCAAGGCACTCCCTTGTCCCACACCATGCCACAACGCTTCCTAGGTTTGGAAACTGTCACCAGCTGAAGGAAGCCTGTAGGAAATGACCAACACGATAGGGAAATTCGGTGTTGCCCTGGGTTTAGGTTCACCATGGCTCACCCACACCAATCTTTCCAAAACTGGGTTGCACACATCGGGTACTTCAGTAGTGCCATGTCACTGAGCCATGCTGCAAACCATGATCTTGGTTGGCCCAATAGACCTGCACGCCGTCGGAGGCGACCCCTGCAGGCGTGGCCACATGCTGGCTGTCCTGCGCCTGGAAAAGCTCCAGGATGGACGTGTCGTCGTCGTGAGATCCTCCAGTGCATTTCGGATTCCCAGGCAGGAAACATGTTTCTACCGCTATGTGTATTCTCTAAAAAAATACCGTGTACACACAACAAACACAGACAGACAAACAGACTGAGAGACAAACAACTAGATAGATATAGATAGATGGATAGACAAATAGATAGATCGATAGACTGTCGATAGATAAATGGATTGATAGATGGATAATATTGAGGACTGCCTGTGGCCCTATTCTTTTTCACCTCTACTCCAAGGAAACCCACCAAAAACACACACAGAGTTCCTATATTTCAATTGCACCTGGATTACCATATCGACAACATGTTTGGAGCATTGGATGTCATGTCATGCTCAATTTGATTTTTTTGGGGGCGGCTAATCTGCCAATCAAACACCTAGTTGGTTGCTACACAGCGCAACCAATCGCACGCAAGTTCCTGATGCATAAACGTAGGGAAAATCATCTGAAATCACCTTTGCGAAAACTAATCTAAAATTTGCCAAAACCAGTTATATACGTTGCACATGCAATTTTAGGCCTGTCTGATCCTGTCTGTTCCTACACAGGACCTGCGTCACCAAGAGTGGGGGTGGGAAGTGCCTTCCCGGATTGCTTTTCATCAACTAACACCATCAGCTGCGTGCAGGCTGCCAAAAAAGTATGTAAACAAAAGAACACAGCATCAATACAAACTTATTCGACGGGGGCCGAAAAGAACAAAAGCCAGGGATATCAGGGGATCAAAAAATACTTCAAGTGAGCAACGAAAGGAAAAGGAGACTATAGTGACGGACTGAAAGTTAGAATGGGTCGGCGAGTTCCCCAAAAAAAATCATGTACGGTTAGAATGTTCAGCACGCAGGGAGAAAAAACGCCCAGTAAGAATGCGGGGTGCCCCC